GGCAGTTTCGGGCGAGGAATTGACGGTTGGGGTGCTTCAAGAACAGAGGTCCCAGGGCGAGCTGGGGGTGTCGGACCAGGGCGACGGCGGGACAGTTTCGGGCGATAACAAGTGTCGGGTGGGGTGTCCCAAGAACAGTGATGCCAGGGCGGGGTGGGGTGTGGACCAGGTCGACAGCGGAGCGTTTCGGGAGAGAACTCTGTCGGGTGGGGTGGCCCAAGAACAGAGGTTTCAGGGCGGGGTGGGGGTGTCGGACCAGGTCGACGGCGGGGCGGTTTCGGGCGAGAAATTGACGGTTGGGGTGGCCCAAGAACAGAGGTCCCAGGGCGGGGTGGGGGGGTCGAACCAGGTCGACGGCGGGGCGGTCTCGGGCGAGAAATTGTCGGGTGGGGTGGCCCAAGAGCAGAGGTCCCAGGGCGGGGTGGGAGTGTCGGACCAGGTCGACGGCGGGGCGGTTTCGGGCGAGAAATTGTCGGGTGGGGTGGCCCAAGAACAGAGGTCCCAGGGCGGGGTGGGGGTGTCGGACCAGGTCGACGGCGGAGCGGTTTCTGGCGAGAAATTGTCGGGTCGGGTGGCCCAAGAGCAGAGGTCCCAGGGCGACGTGGGGGTGTCGGACCAGGTCGACAGCGGGGCGGTTTCGGGCGAGAAATTGCCGGGCGGGGTGGCTCAGTAGCATAGGTCGCAGGGCGGGGTGGGGGTGTCGGACCAGGTCGACGGCGGGCCGGCTTCGGGCGAGAATTTGTCGGGTGGGGTGGCTCAAGAACAGAGGTCGCAGGGCGGGGTGGGGGTGTCGTACCAGGTCGACGGCGGGGCGGCTTCGGGCGAGAAATTGACGGTTGGGGTGGCCGAAGAACAAAGGTCCCAGGGCGGGGTGGGGGTGTCGGACCGGGTCGACGGCGGTGCGGATTCGGGAGAGAAATTGTCGGGTGGGGTGGCCAGAAACTAGACTTTTGGTCCAGGGCGGGGTGCGCGGGTGTCGGACCAGGTCGTCGGCGGGGAAGTTTCGGGCGAAGAAAATTGTCGGGTGGGGTGGCCCAAGAACAGAGGTCGCAGGGCGGGGTGGGTCGGACAAGGTCGACGGCGGGGCGGTTCCGAGCGAGAAATTGTCAGGTGGGGTGGCCCAAAAAAAAGGGTCCCAGGGCGGGGTGGGGGTGTCGGACCAGGTCGACAGCGGGCCGGCTTCGGGCGAGAAATTGACGGTTGGGGTGGCTCAAGAACAGAGGTCCCAGAGCGGGGTGGGGGTGTCGGACCAGGTCGACGGCGGGGCGGTTTCGGGCGAGAAATTGTCGGGTGGGGCGAACCAAGAACAGAGGTCCCAGGGCGGGGTGAAGGGTGTCGGACCAGGTCGACGGCGGGGCGGTTTCGGGAGAGAAATTGTCGGGCGGGGTGGCCCATGAACAGTGGTCCCAGGGCGAGGTGGGGGTGTCGGACCAGGTCGACGGCGGGGCAGTTTCAGGCGAGAAATTATCGAGTGGGGTGGCCCAAAAACAGTGATCCCAGGGCGGGGTGGGGGTGTCGGACCAGGTCGACGGCGGGGCGGTTTCGGGCGAGAAATTGTCAGGTGGGGTGGCCCAAGAATAGAGGTCCCAGAGCGAGGCGGGGGTGTCGGACCAGGTCGACGGCGGGGCGGTTTCGGGCGAGGAATTGACGGTTGGGGTGGTTCAAGAACAGGATCCCAGGGCGGGGTGGGGGTGTCGCGCCAAGTCGACGGCGGGGCGGTTTCGGGCGAGAAATTGTCGGGTGGGGCGGCTCAAGAACAGAGGTCCCAGGGCGAGGTGGGGGTGTCGGACCAGGTCGACGGCGGGACAGTTTCGGGCGAGAAATTGTCGGGTGGGGTGGCCCAAGAACAGAGGTTCCAGGGCGGGGTGGGGGTGTCGGACCAGGTCGACGGCGGGGCGGTTTCGGGCGAGAAATTGTCGGGTGGGGTGGCCCAAGAACAGGGTTCCCAGGGCGGTGGGGGTGTCGGACCAGGTCGACGGCGGGCCGGCTTCGGGCGAGAATTTGTCGGGTGGGGTGGCTCAAGAACAGAGGTCCCAGGGCGGGGTGGGGGTGTCGGGCCAGGTCGACGGCGGGGCGGTTTCGGGCGAGAAATTGTCGGGTGGGGTGGCCCAAGAGCAGAGGTCCCAGGGCGGCGTGGGGGTGTCGGACCAGGTCGACGGCGGACCAGTTTCGGGCGAGAAATTGTCGGGTTGGGTGGCCTAAGAACAGAGGTTCCAGGGCGGGGTGGGGGTGTCGGACCAGGTCGACGGCGGAGCGGTTTCGGGCGAGAAATTGTCGGGTCGGGTGGCCCAATAACAGAGGTCCCAGGGCGAGGTGGGGGTGTCGGACCAGGTCGACGGCGGGGCGGTTTCGGGCGAGAAATTGTCGGGTGCGACAGGCTCCAGAAGGCTGGCGGTGTCAGACGTGGTGGAGCCGTGGTGGGGGGGTCCCGGCGAGGATTTTGCTGAGTGGGCAGCCTCGAGGTTCTGGGCCAGGAATTGTCGTATCCAGGTCAAATTGATATCGCACACGCCTCTGGGGTCGGCGGATTTGGTTGGAGATGTTTATAAGATTGTTGTGTCGGCTTGTTTCTAGGAGGGCCTCTTTGTGTTAGCTTGGGCTATCGGCAGCGAGTCGCCCGTGAAAGCTGTTTCGGATATTGCGGGCGCAGGCGCCGAACACATTGCCCCCCTCGCGACAGTGAGCCCAGCTAGCGGAGCACGATCGGACGCCACCCTCCGAACGAATTCCCGCTTGTGCAGCGGCGTGGCAATTCTGGAAACGCCCGAAAACCGAACGCAGGCGGAATGCGGGCAGAACGCCGGGCGGTGCAGCAGGCACCACGCGCGCATTCGCACACACCGTGTTTATCACATTCACTACCATGCGATTGTCTGACCGACACGATCCATGACTGGGGATGTGCGGCGCGCCATTTTGGCTGCGTCCGCCCTGCTTCCTGGGTGGCTGACCCCTCAGACTCCCTGGGCTGCAGTTTGCACCGCCGCCTGATCCGCGGCCCCCGCGCGCGCCCGGGTAATTCGTCACGGCCGCAGCCCGACCGTGACCCGCCGCCGCCGGTGCTTCCGCCTGCGGCTGGAGAAAAAAACAGTTTATCACATTCGCCAGTTCGATGAGGACAGACCCGAACTGATCAGATACGATGTGCACCATTGATCCAAGCGTTTTCCATCACAGGAGTGCGAATGGGGGATTCGCCGTACTTGCATAGTTGAGGTGGGCAGCCCCGCGGATTTCGATCATGCCTCTCCGAAGACAACGTGTTTGGGAGTGACGGATGGCGTCACCGCGAACGAGGACGGGGTACACACCACTCGTCCTCGCAGCTGGTGGGGAAAGTTCCAGGGCGGGCAGCACCCTTGGAGATGGAACCAACATGCCTGGCTAAAGCCAAACCTACATGTTTCAAAGTTTAGACCAGGTATTACTTGAGAGTGCTGCGGGCCCGAGGCTTTGGCCTGAATTTTGATGCCAGGCCCTAGGGCAGGCTCGGTGGTATTGCCCTCAGCGCAGCCCTGGAAAACGGGGCAAGGGTAGATGAGCACGAGGACAAGTAAGGCGCCGCGGCTGACGGCGGAGGAGGGTATCATTTAGAGCATTAAGCACGAAGATGAGCCAAGAAGGGTGAGCAGGACGAGAGCACAAGCAGGAGTAGGAGGGCGACGTGCACCCCCACACCTCGAGCACTCGCTTTCTGTCCTGCCTGGGATCCCCCCCCTCTTCGCCCTCGTGTTCCTCGCCCTCGCCCTGCTCGGGCTCCGCTGGAAGGAGGGGCAGGATGGAGCGAAGTCGGGAGAGGGCGGGAAGGGGGATGAGTATATTGATGTGGGGAAGGGGGGCACAGATCGCGCGGAAGGTGATGGGAGAGGAACGGGTTGTGTATGGAGTATGGAAGGGGAGCAGGGAGATGAGGGAGACGGACGAAGGGTGGAACATGAACAGGGGGAAATTGTAGCGGGAACGGGAGGGAGGGGTGCATGGGGGGGAGGACGTGGAGGTGATCGATAAGTTTTGCTACCTCCCTCCTCCGTCACCCCGTTCCCCCCCCCATAGCCACTGCACCTCTCCTTCCTCGTCCGTCATCTCCCCCCCAAGAAGGTGGAGGAAGAGAGGAACGACTGGGAGTAGGACCCCCCGCCCTCCTGCCGGCCTCCGGCCCTGCCTCCTCGGATCCCCCCCCTCGTTTCTTCGGTTGGGCAGGCATGGAGGCTTTCCGCCCGCACCCTCCACCCCTCTCCGCCCAGCCAGGCGATCGGCGTGAGCCCAGGGGAGGCGTCTAGGGGGGACGCCGCCGCGCGCCTGGCGAAGTGGGCGGGGGCCAGGGCGAGGGGGAACGTTAGAGGGGGAGTGGAGCGGAAGGAAGAGGAGCGGGAAGAGTTGGAGGAGGAGGAGGAGGAGGGGGAGGGGGAGGAGGATACCGTGGTACGCTCCCGCTCAGAGGCTCAAACAAGGAGGTGGGCAAAGAGTGAAAGGGGGGGAGCGGGAGTGGGAGAGGAGCAGGAGGATGGGTGGGGGGATCAGCGTCAGGATGAGTGGCAGGAGGATGAGGGGAGGGGGCAGGATGATGATGATGATGGGGAAGAGGGCGGGGGGGGATGATGTGGAGGACGGGGAGGCTTATAGGGAGGCCAGGGGAGGTGGAAGGCAATGGGGAGTGGCGGGGGCAGGAAGGGGGAGGGGAGGCGGATCGGGATGGAGCAGGGGCGGGGCCTCTTTCTCCCAGCCCTCGCCACATTCCTATTACCTGTTACCTGTTGGCTGAATTGTCGTGCCGACGCAGCCCTCCACCCTCCTATTCCTCCTCCCCTCCCTGATCCTCCCCTCCTCCCCTCCTCCCGCCTCCTCCCCCCCACCCCTCCTTTTCCTCCTCGTCTTTCCTTTCCTTTGTCCTCACGCACTGCTCCTCGCATAATGGAGGCCAGGTCCGTCACGGGGCGCATCGATGTTATCCCGGCTCTTGTCCTCCTGGCCTCGGCTTCGCGCGCGCGCACCCCGCGCCCGAGGCCCCCCAGCTGGCCATGGAGGTGCAGGCCCGGGAGGAGGGGGGCTCACTCCTCTTCCTCCTCCTCCAGGGGCCAGGTGAGCAGGATGAGGAGGGGGACCAGCGGGCCACGGGGGAGGGAACCGGGCAGGATGCGCGCGGGAGGGGAGGAGAAAGGATGGGAGAGGAGGAGAGGGAGGAGGAGGAGGAGGAGGAGGAGGAGCAGGAGGAGCAGGAGGAGGAGGAGGACGCCATGGAAGGAGAGGGAACTGAGCAGGAATTCTGTTTTGTTGTTCCCCCATGGGGTGGATAACCGCGTGTTTAGTTTAGGAGGAAAGCAGCAGCATCCTGTTCCTCCTAGTAGCTCGGCTCAGGAAGCGGTGCCTCCTGGGCCTGACCACTGGATCCCAGGGAGGGAGCCTTCATGGGGGCCGAAGGCCCCCGACGAGGAAGTCCCGTCAAAATCGGGCCCAGGAAATCAGCAGATGCCTCCCCTGGTTCCAGCTCCCTGGCCGCGACGCGGCGTCGGATGGCCTCCAGCGCTGGGATGATGTCGCCCTGCCCTGCAGGGAGTAGCACTGCCCGACATCTGGGCTGCAACCGCAGTCGGTCAATGTCGGAGAGGATGTGGAGGACCACCCCAGGGACACGGTTTGACTGGGGGTGGAGGCTTCTCACCATATTGCTTAGACGACAACGCGTGGCAGAGGAGAACATTCGGCCTGGGTATTCATTCTCCAGTCGTCTGCTGAGGCGCTCCGTACTGTAAGCCCCGAAGCGGCGGCAAAAAAAACAGGGAAGGACCGTTCGAAAGACGAGTAAACACTAGCGAGTGTCCCATCTTTTCTCGGTCCCTCAGCAACTCGAATTTTTCACGTTTACCTAGGCAGACCGTCATCGCCAAACTCTCCGCGCACGTGTTGACTGCTCGGACCTGGCAGTCATGACAGATAAAGCTACCCTGGGTGCCTGGGACAGCCGTCCAGGCTTGCCACCGATGGACTCCAACTGCTCGGGGTCTGGGAACCTTGGGCCGAGCAGGAAATTGAGCAAAAAGGAAGAGCGGAAGCACCGATCCAATCTTTTTCGCTGCAGCTCTGGCCTTCATAATCAGACGATCAAGGTCGCCCAGGCCCCCAGGAATGTCCCGAGCATGGAGTAGCAGAGGATGCTTCGCGTATACATCGGCAGCCCTGCTGGCAAGAACACTTCATCCTCTGCTCAGGAGACAACGCTTCTATCACATCCATACTACGGTGATCGGGCGTGCGCTGTCCCCGTTCAATAGATGGAGCTCCTTCTATCTCGGAGAAACCACGTCTGAGCCCTGCGTACCTTGAGCGGCTCAGCAAAACTTGGGACTGGCTCTGATTATGTATCCGAACAACGCCGAGGCAATCAGAGTGCACTTGGGCTGGGCTGCGGACGACAAACGCAGGGGCATTGATGGCCATCTGCCGAGGCAAAGAAGGCCACACTGGCCCTTGAAATCACGCCGCAATCTCCTCCGTCCCCGACCTCATATACCATCAGGCGCCGCCCTCGAGAGCTCACGGATGGGGCAACGCGTACACGACCCATCATCGACGACGTCGGCGACATCGCCCAACACTGAGAGATCCTCCAGTGGGCGGCCGTTTTGCGGAAGCACCTGAGGATATAGTTGGTCGGTCGGGAGTTGGAGGTAGCACGACGGATGCTTAAAAACGAGACGGGCCCACGCGAGATCTTCGCTCCCCGCATGCAAGCGCTGCAAACCTTCTCTCTAGCCTTGACCACCGCTGGCGCCTGGCAGCCCCGCAATATGCGATGAATGCTATCTGCGCTTCCGCACATAGGACATCGCCCGCCATGCTCATGCCCTCGAGAGTTTCACGGTCACTCGTAACAACAAAAAAACAGATTTAGTGCAACAAGTCGCTATAGCATACTTCTGATTTGCACTATACTTATTAGACCTGCACGCGCACGTGCGCACTGAACCAGCACACGCTCTAACACTGTCACCATGAATGCGTGCACTGCGCGCCGTGTCACGTTCATGTTGTCTCTGCATAGCTTCAGGCAGTAGAGGTTTCACAAGAGAGGGTGGTGCGTATAGGGGCGAATTCTCAATCCGTCGATCATCGGTCCACTCCGAGAAATTCTCGGGCTCTCACTTGGCCCTCTGGAGGCGCGGCAACCCTCCAAGGTAGCTCAGAGCCCCATCTGTCATTCACAATGCGATGCACATCCTCGAGCTGCAGCATCGTGAAAGGGATCGCGCCTTCGCAACCGCCATCGGCCAAATAATGGTTGACCGCTGTGCTGCGAGCGCCGCAGCAGCATCTGCAGCAGGGTCGCCATGGGGCACGCACTTCGCTACAAGACAACCCCTCGGTAGGAGGGTGGCTTGAAACTGGGCAGCGTCGCGCGAGCTCGCCCCAGCTTGCAATCGCCCATGCCGAGCGCATCGCTGCCGTGGGCCAAGGCTGGCTTCAATCCAACAGTGTGAATCTTAGCCATGCGACGCTTTCCGCGAGCTAGCTACCTCCGGAAGCGCAAAACTCGAAGAGGTCGAAGCTTGAATTGTCAAAATCGAAGCCGTCTTTTACGAAGCGCACCCTTGGTCGAAAGAGTCTGTCCAGGAGCGAAATCGATCTCGAGGTTGTGCGATGCCGATGTAAATGCACCCTCAGACAATCCTCGAACGCGAAGCTGATGGGCCGAGGATCTTGCCAACGGGGCCGGTCTGGCTACCGCCGTGGCTGTCGATTCCAACATGTCAGCCTTGATTTCTCCTTTAAACATAGTGCAGACTTTTGTTTTTTTTGCGGGCGCTACCTGCAATGGGCTCGCGTTGCCCCCCTCCCCAATATCGTGTCATTGCCGATGTGCGAGGACAGGCGAATGGTGGGATGTCTTAACGTGACAGCATCGAAGGCCTCGACCGCATAGACCTTCACGAAGGCATCATTGAAATTGTCTCCTGCAGGGGGACCACTGGATGCAAGCTATGCCACCGCGTGAAAATCTGGACCGAGACGGGTGAGCCTCGGGGACCTCCGCAAATTATACACAGTCTTACATATGACCTTAGGGATACCTTGTCGATAAGTTCTATAACGTAGGAGATCTAGGTGGAAGGGTTCGTAATATTTCTCCCCATGCCCGTGGGCCATCAAGGCAATCTGGCCCCTGGACTTCGCGACCTCCGAAAGAGCCGCGTGGGCCCATGCGCGCGCTTCAGCGCTCTTGCCAGCTCCAAACGCCGAGTAGTTCTTCTCCGCGTTGGCAAACAAGAGGTTCAGCATGGGTCGGCGAGGCCTCTCCCAAACGCGCGCAAAACTGGCCGGCAAGAGAATGGCGCGATGACCTCCTGCAGGCTTATCAGTCAAAAGGAAAGACCATCCACGTGAAAAGTCGCGGGAAGGGGCCGGGCCGCCCTTCTGCCTCATATCGAACACTGAGGGCGGATATGGCAGCATCCCCCAGCGGACATATGTGCTTCGGATGGAAGTCATGCAAAGTGGACGAAGTGAATTGGCAAATCTTTCTGGATGCACATCGGATCTCATCGATTGAGGCCAGAGGAAAACAATCTCGGCCAGGGGCCTCAGCCACTGGCGGGGTAGCAGTAGCAGTCCACTGTGCCTGCAGTGACTGCGCCTCGCTTGCAAGAATGGCATCGGGCCTACTTGAGAATTAAAAAATGGTGATCGCTTCGCGATGATCGGGTCCCAGAGCTGCTCATGGCGCGAAATCTTGTGCATGAGCTTTGCAGAGCCCTGAAGGGCCTCGCCGCACCATTTGATGCCGAGACTGAGTGCTCAGCGTCGTGGCAACGGTGGCGGCATGCTCGAACTGCGTGACCATGCATTCAACGTGGAGGCTAGGCCCCACTATGGATGTGCAAGCTGCGAAAGATATTCTTTTAAAAGCTGCGCATCATTTCGAGCACCCATCTCTTCGCCTCGTTAGTCCTCCGACAGACACGCTTGGTGGAGTTCGAGGCCTGCTACGTTGGGCTGCAACGCGGGGTCCCCCTTCATGGTAGTCTCAGACTCATGCCATACTCGATATAACCATTGCCATCCACGGCGCACGTGAACATGGCAAGTAGCGCGAAGCTTTCTCCTCGCGACAGGAGCCCGTCGTCTAGCTAAGTTCCGATCTCAGGCGACCATTTTCAGCGGGAGGTCCAAAACGTCTGAGAGTTCCATCTCCGCACCTTTAGGAAAACAGTGCTTGCGCTTCATCATGCTCAACAAGTTCTCTCGCAGCATGAGATGCCCGGGGTCCCCGCCGAGGGCCACATGGAGGGCCCACTGGGAGGCGCGCGTGGGGTCTGCAGACCAATTGTTTCAGCCCGGGGACACCAGGCCCCAGATGTAGTCGACCAGGCTTGCGCGGGCCCCCATGCCATGACAGATAGACACCCACCTTGTCGAACAATCGTAATCTGCCATGTGAACACAAAAATAACCAATGGCCGCCGCCGTGCTCGACGTTGCGCATGCATGGCGGGCAGGGGCCACAGCAATCAGGCCAACTTTGCGCGTGGGGCCCGACTGCTGAACCACCTGGGGCTCTACGTTCCAATCCGCATCTGCCAGAGTGGAACCATGCGTTTTGGCGACACTCGAGCCCAGCATCTTCAGGATACGCATGTTATCCTCATCGAGGACCACCGCACAATACAAATATGCAGGGCTCACCGTGAGCCCAGGCGCCCCGGGCGCATCCACCTTGATTGAGATACGTCGCTCTCTGATGATATTGCCTCCTCATGGGTTCCATCTCAAACCCAACTCCGCGCGGACAAAGACTGCGACCCCCGCGGGGCGTGAGCCTCGCTCGCGCTCGATGGAAGGGCTGCGTAACATTCGATATCCGATCGTTCGAGCTGCACGTTGTAGGTCCGCAGCTGTCGTCTCCGCCGCGCCAATCTACTGCGCGCGTGCAATCAGCGAGCCTGAAGCACGCAGTCTACCAAGTATCGTGGCATGAGAATCGCCATTGAACGGTTCAAAAAATTGCACCTTATCATCATCTCTTGTGGAAGAGACT